CGCGGATGGGAGGCCACCAGGAAATCTCGTAGACCAGAGCAGGAAATGTCTTTATTAACAGAAAAAGCACCCATATATTAAACGATGTTTCTAGGGTACACCCTTCAGTTGGCTTTTTACTGGAAGAGGCTGGTGCCCAAGACCTCACTGAGTTTGTTGCCGATCATCTTGATTAATCAAACTCTGTTTGGTAGGGTTCCCGTGTTGTTAGTTTTACGGCAATTCTGGGTTCTTGGGCTACTGGATGCTGAAGCTTGTCATGCCAATCCAGAATAGAAGCCTGCGCATTTTTAAAATTTTCAGTGAAATTTGTGAGGTTATCCTGATAGAAATTAAAGTGTGATATTTTTTTTTATCCTGTTTGAATGCCTCAGTTGCAGGGAGCTAATTTATTCCAATATCTTTGAACTCTTTGGGGATCCAGCTTGGTGTTCCTGAAAGTGGGGGGGGGGCTCTGCTTGTGTACCACACACATTTTTGCACACGTGTGAGAGTCCAAAAGAGGAGAGGGAGCGGAGGGTGTGTAAATGAACGAACCACAGTTCGTCGAAGTTACAACGCCACCGAAAAAAGTGACTTGGGACTCTTTTTTCACACTTAACAACCATCTGCAGCCTCCCCACGTGATCAACATTCAGGCGCCTGGCAACTGATTCATATTTATGACGGTCGCAGTGTCCCCGGATCCTGTGATCCCCTTTTGCAACCTTCTGACAAATAAAGTCAGTAGAGACTTCATTTAACAACCGTGTGACTAACTTAACAACTGGGGGCCGGGAAGGTGGTAAAACGGGGGCAAAATTCCGCGGATTTCTCGCTAGCAACGTCAATTTTGCGGTGGTAAGTTGAGAACCACCTGTTGTTTTCAGTCGCAAGCTCAAAGTGATATAAAAGTCATAAAAGATATAAAAAAAAAAAAAGGTTTGGCACGCTCACCTGCTGGGTGTGACCCCCCCCCTGTTTTTTCCTCTGGGCTGCCTCCAAAGGCCCCCGCCCTTTTGAGGAAGCTATTGCCAGTTCATCCTTAAAAACATTGATTATCGGGGATGTTTTGCTGGCTGCTTATAATTATTTGGATCTGTTTTCACGGCTGCGGGAGGAAGCGGCTTGGGCACGTCGGGGAGTGTGAGAAACAGACCTGAAGCATCTTCCCAAAGCTTTGCACAGGGAATTAAATAACCAGCGTGTGAGTCACCCTGATTCAGCAGCCATTAACCCTCTCCCGCTTGGCTTTCCCAGCCACTGAAAACCCTCGCGCCAAGCTAGGCCTGTGGAACTCCCCGCCACAAGACTGGAGGAGCAGTTCTGGATTGACCAAAGGCTGACGATGGGATTTGTAGTAATGGAAGTTTTAACCGCTTGGTTGCTGGGAGTGTTCCAAGGCTTAGCTATCTCGGTGGGAGCCCAAAGCCGGTCCTAAGCTTGCTATGGCTAGCTATGAGGAAACCAGGTTATGGGAGAAGCCAGCATTGGGGGGGATTGCCTATCTTTTCCCTCTGAATCAACCATTCTGCATTTCTGTTAGCGGAAACGCAGCTTGCAAAGGCTCGGTTATGTAATAAACGCAGGGCCCTTTTTCCTGACCGTTCTAGTCTTTTATTTTTATTTTTTTTTTTCCATCTTCCGAAGAACAGCCTGTTCTGAATATAGGAAGACTAAGTGGCGTTTTTCTTTTCTTGTGCCAGATTTCGTCTCGGCCCGCAGCCTTTCTCATGTGCCGTCCAGTCCCGCCTTCCTTTCATGTAGAAAGGGTGTCTCTTGAAACAAGAGATCAGCAATCTTTTGGGGTGTAGGGAAGGACAGCCTGGAAATTTGAATTGGGCTGGGACCACCCCCCCCCCAATTCTGTCATTTGTTTTTCCAGCACAGCTAGAGTAGAAGAGATTTTTGCTCTTTCTCGGTCTTTGAAAAACGTTTGCTTTTGCGTGACTTTAGTTTTTCATTTTTTACATGCATTGCTCGTGCGTTCTCACTCAAACATTTGGGAGTTTTTATTGCTGTGTATTTTGTGACAATATGCAGATAGTCCTTGACTTACAACAATAGTTGACTGAGGGCCATTTTTCACGCAACCGTTGCAGCATCCCGATGGCCACCCAATCAAAATTCGGGACGCTTGGCAACCGACTCGTACTTAGGACGGTTGCAGCGTCCCGAGGGATGACGGGCTCCTGATGATGACAATGCTGAGCCGAGGTGGCGCAGCAGTTAGAGTGCAGTACTGCAGGCCACTTTAGCTGACTGTGTTCAGCAGGTCAGCGGTTCAAATCTCACCAGCTCAAAGTTGACTCAGCCTTCCATCCTTCTGGGGTAGGTAAAATGAGGACCCAGATTGTTGGGGGCAATGTAAATATAGATATACATTGCTTACTGGTGTACACCGCTTAGAGAATGCTTGCACTTAAAGCGGTGTATAAGTCTCATAAATAAATAAATAAATAAAATCAAAGTCAAAGTCCCTTAACAATCATGTTACTAACTTAAGAACTGCAGTGATTCCCTGCAGAAAAGTCGTAAAACGGGGCAAAACTCGCTTAACGAAGGTCTCGCTTAGCAATAGAAAATTTGGGCTCAGTTGAAGTCGTAACTTGAGGACTACCTGTATTATGATATTATTTTTATAGTGTGTGTTTTTTGGGGGGTCGTCAGTTGAAATGGAGTTTGGGCAATCATTTCGCGCTTCCTCCTCAAACGATTTGAACCCAACTAAACGCTTTCCTCAATTTTGATTTACTCATCAAACCGCCATGGTGAGCGGCCTCCGGATTAGCAGAAGTGCCTTTTTTTGGTTTGGTTTTATTGTGTAAACAAGAAAAGGGATTGCAAAACCGGTTTAGAGAATGGCGGCCCAGTGGACGGATGGGGTGCTGCTCGCCTCTCGGCTGCTGGTTGCCCGTTTGATGAGAGCCGAGTTCGAGTCCGTACAACTCGGTTTGCAATGTAGAAAGTGGTAGGGGTAGTCCCCGACTTTACGATCGCAATTTCTGTGGCTAAGCGAGGCAGTGAACTGAGTTTTGTCCCCGTTTTACGAGCTTTCTGGACACAGTTGTTAAATGAAGCAGTTGTTAACGTAGTGACACGGTTGTTAATTGAATCCAGCTTCCCCATTGACTTGGATTGTCAAAAAGTCACAGAAAGGGATCACGTGACACACACACACACACACCCCGGGACCCTGCGACCGTCGTAAATATGAGTCGGTTGCCAAGCGTCTTGAAGTTTGATCACGTGACCGTGAGGATACAGCAAACAGTCCTCTGTGTGAAAAACAGTCATAACTCGCTTTTCATTAAACGAACTGCTATAAATGGAGGACTAGCTACATTTTCACAATCTAATCCCTCCAGTGTCATGCAAGACTATTTAAAAGGTGCACCTGGATGAATCCCAATCTTGGCCTTTGGAAAACGTACAAGACTAAACCGAGGGGGGGGGAAATGTGTGATCTGGGAAATGTATATATTTATATTTAATATAAATTATTAAATATCTTCCCATTTCTGCACCGGTGCCCTTGCATGGGATTAAATCAGCCGTTGTCCGTTTGCTCCCGCAGCCTACTTTTTCCCACCCTTGGATTTTATATATACACATCTCTGTGTGTCTTTGTGTGTGTGTGGTGTGAGCCTTAACACAGAACCTGATTCACACCCCAGGTTTTTCTTTTGATTTTGTTTTTCTTCCATGACTAACCGGTGTAGGGCTGGCAGGACTTCAGTGGGGCATTTATCCCAGGAGACGCTTTTGAAAACACGTTTCTTAGAAAGCGAGTTTGCCTCTATTCCGCTTTTTAAAAGGGGTTGGTGGATTTTTTTCCCCCTGCTATCCGCCGCAAAAGCGGGATCTTTGCTCAAGGTTGCCGTATTTGGGATTGTTCTCTGGCAAGCAGAAGGTGAGTTGACCACAATTTGGGAAGCAAGAATGGGACTGAGCTGAATAACAGAGTTGGAAGGGACCTTGGAGGTCTTCTAGTCCAACCCCCCTCTTCTTAAAAGCTTCCAGTGTTGGAGCATTCACCGTTTCTGGAGGCAAGTTGTTCCACTGGTTAATTGTTCAAACTGTCAGGAAGTTTCTCCTTAGTTCTAGGTTGCTTCACTCCTTGATTAGTTTCCACCCGTTGCTTCTTGTCCTGCCTTCAGGCGCTTTGGAGAATAGCTTGACTGCCTCTTCTTTGGGGCAGCCCCTGAGATACTGGAACACTGCTATCATGTCCCCCCTTGTCCTTCTCTTCATTAAACTAGACAGACCCAATTCCAGCAACCATTCCTTATATGTTTTAGCCTCCAGTCCCCTGATCATCTTTGTTGGTCTTCTCTGCATTCTTTCTAGAGTCTCAGCCTCTTTTTTAATAATATGGTGACCAAAACTGGATGTAGCATTCCAAGTGTGGTCTTTATAAAGCAGTACTAATCAATGCTTGCTTCTTGCCGGGAAAAAAACTTTAAAATACATCTGCTTCCCAGAGGTATCTAAGCGTGTGCAGAGTGCATCTTAGTTGGAGCCAGGAGTGGGTGTACAGTATAAACATCTCACTGGACAAGAACGTAGCATGGGGAGATTGAACCATCTCCAGATGAAAGTGGGAATCGTGGAAAGGAGGGGGGGCTTTCCCCAATTTGGATCTCCCCCCCCCCAGTTGAAAGCCATCCTTCTCCGTCCCCCTGGGAGGGGATGATGGGGCTCCTAGTCCAGAGCATCCTCTTTTTCCACTTCCTCTTCCCAACGTGATGAATGCAGAACGTGGAACTTTGCAACGTGATAGTGAACGCCATTCATCTCGGAACATCTGGAGGCTTCTGAAGGATGCTGGGGGCAGATGTTCTATTCCGTTAAGGGCTGTTGTCTTCTCCTTTTCATCCCAGGATTGGTTTGTTGGGGGGAAATCTGTCTTTCTTGGCTGCCCCTCAGTGGTTCCACCGCCCCCCCCCCAGCCTCTGTCCTCACAAAGCCACCTGTTTTAATGTTTAACCCATGCCTTGTTTTTCTTTCCACCCAATTAGTTGCTGTTGACCGCTGCTGGCCGCAGCGGCTTCTGAACAAGGTCTCGGAGCAGCGGGCTCACTCGCCGGATGACCGTGGCCGAGCGCTGGTCCTTGAATCATGGGGCAAAAAGTGACAGGGGGCATCAAAACAGTGGACATGCGGGATCCGGTGTGCCGGCCTCTGAAGCAGGAGCTGCAAGGGCTGAATTACAGCAAGCCATCTCGGCTGGACCTCCTGCTGGACATGCCGTCCGTCTCCTACGAGGTCCAGCTGCTCCATTCGTGGAACAACGATGACCGGTCGCTCAACGTCTTCGTGAAAGAGGACAATAAGTTGACTTTCCACCGGCATCCGGTGGCCCAGAGTACCGACGCCATCCGGGGCAAAGTGGGGTACACTCGCGGGCTCCACATCTGGCAGATTACCTGGGCGATGAGGCAGCGGGGGACCCACGCGGTGGTGGGCGTGGCCACCGCCGAGGCCCCCTTGCACTCGGTGGGCTACACCACCCTGATCGGGAACAACCTGGAGTCCTGGGGCTGGGATCTGGGGCGTAACCGGCTCTACCACGACGGGAAAAACCAGGCCAGCAAGACCTATCCGGCATTCCTGGAGGCGGACGAGACTTTCATTGTGCCGGATTCGTTCTTGGTGGTGCTGGACATGGACGACGGGACCCTGAGCTTCATCGTGGACGGACAGTACATGGGCGTGGCCTTTCGGGGGCTGAAAGGGAAAAAACTGTACCCCGTGGTGAGCGCCGTGTGGGGCCACTGTGAAATCCAGATGCGATACTTGAATGGCCTCGACCGTAAGTCTCTTCGCTTTCGTGATACCTGGTGCTAATTGGGCGTCTGTACGGAATAATTAGCAATAGCAGCAGTAACACTTAGACTTATAGACCGCTTCACAGTTCTTTACAGCCCTCTCTAAGCAGTTTACAGAGTTAGCCTATTGCCCCCCCAACAATCTGGGCCCTCACTTTACCAACCTCGGAAGGATGGAAGGCTGAGTCGACCTTGAGGCGGTCAGGATCGAACTGATGGCAGTGGGCAGAGTTTAGACTGCAATTCTGTATTCTAAGCACGGCGCCACCAGGCTGCCTTCCTTCCTTCTCCTTGTTTCTCTTCCTTCTTGTTTTCCTTCCTTCCTTCCTTCCTTCCTTCCTTCCTTCCTTCCTTCCTTCCTTCCTTCCTTCCTTCCTTCCTTCCTTCCCAACCAATAGCACTTAGACTTATATACCGCTTCATAATTCTTTTGCAGCCCTCTCTAGGCAGTCTACAAACTTGGCCTGTTGCCCCCCAATAATCTGGGTCCTCATTTGTGTGTTGATTCCTACACAATTTGCTCTTTGAAGCTCATCTTTACCAACCAAGGCTCACAAGTTATGTCAGAATTTGATGCTGGGTTGATTTTTCTGGCTTCTTGGTGCTTTTTTTGGGCGGAGGAGGTGTTTCTTTGCAAACTGGGGGCTCCCATTTTCATGAGTGAAGAGAATCCGGTTTTGCTGAGAAGAGGGAAGCTGAGCAAATAAATGGATTACATATTTAAATTTAAAATTTAAATCTAAAATCTTACCATCCGTGGTATTTTTTTATTTTGGGGGGGGGTGAGGACACGTTTAAAAAAAAAAAAATACGGCAGCCGGTGGGCCTGTTGGCTTATCTGCAACCAGACAGCTAAATTCCTGTAAATGACAAAAGAGTTTTAAGACTTAGTTGCTGAGTCATAATTCTCCAGAATATGCCTTTTTTTTTTTTTGCATTTGTCTGCCTCTCCTTTGATTCCTGGTGTGTGGCACAATCTTGCTTGGTGCTTCGTGGGTTTCAGCTGGCTTAGCAAGTTGGGATTTATTATCGTTTGCAAATGTGTGTTTTTTTGGGGTTTTTTTGGCAGAAAAAGTGGAACAGCCTCAGTTTTCTCCAAATCCTGGATCTGGGAAAAGATTTCCTCTATCCCAAGGGGGCGAAACACTAGGAAAAGGGGGCCCGGGGAGAATAAATTTGGGGATGGGGGAGGCGGGTCTGCATCTTGGGATTTGCATCCGCAACGTGCAGACACCGCTTTCTTAAAAGGCAGTGCAGGGAATCAGCCAATCAATCGCTTGATTGATGGTTTGGCGCCAGCAGTTTTTGTAGAGCCTCCCAGCCATAATGCTGTCTGTTCATGTATTTATTTAAGGGTAGGATAGCATTGCGTTTTCTCGTGATTCAGGGCTGCCTGCTGAGCTGATCACCTAGGGTGAAGAAGACCCTTGCCCAGGAAAGCAAGTGCCAAAATCAGTTTTGCTCCAACTCTTTTCTGTAGCCTTGAGATCTAGCAACTTGGTTTTCCTCTCTGTTCTGTTCTATTCTGTTCTGTTCTATTTCTATTCTGTATTCTATTTCTGTTTTATTCTCTATTTCTATTCTATCCTATTTATATCCTTATTCTATCCTTATTCTATTCTGTTCTGTCCTGTTCTTCATTCCTTCTATTCTATTTCTGTTCTGTTCTATTCTGTTTCTATTCTCTATTCTATTTCTATTCTATTCTATCCTATTTCTAATTCTATTCTATTCTATTCTATTCTATTCTATTCTATTCTATTCTATCCTATTTCTAATTCTATTCTATTCTATTTCCATTTCTAATTCTATTCTATTCTATTCTGTTTCTATTCTATTCTATTCTATTCTATTCTATTCTATTCTATTCTATCCTATTTCTTATTCTATTCTATTCTATTTCTAATTCTATTCTGTTCTGTTTCTATTCTATTCTATTCTATTCTATTCTATTCTATTCTATTCTATTCTATTCTATCCTATTTCTTATTCTATTCTATTCTATTTCTATTTCTAATTCTATTCTATTCTATTCTGTTTCTATTCTATTCTATTCTATTCTATTTCTATTTCTAATTCTATTCTATTCTATTCTATTCTGTTTCTATTCTATTCTGTTTCTATTCTATTCTATTCTATTCTATTCTATTCTATTCTATTCTATTCTTCTCCACCTGTGTTCTGGCAAGCAAAGTCAATGGAAGAAGCCAGATTCGCTTAATGACGGCACGATTTGCTTAACAACTTCAGCGATTCGCTTAAGTGGCAAAAAAAAAAAAGTTGTAAAATGCAGCAGAACTCAACAACTGCCTTGCTTAGCAATGGAAACTTTGCGCTCGTTTGTGGTCATGTAGGCCAAGGACTTACCTACACGCTATAGCAAAGTGAAGCCGGTCAAGGTGTTTAAAAAAATAAATAAAAAGACGGAATTTCAAGCAGAAAGTGAATTATCCTCCAGTGGGCTTTCCCCAACCCTTAATTCAGAACTTTTGAATCCAGGAAAGTTTGGTCAGTAACTTTTTGGCACTGCTTGCCGTCCTCTTGGGCGTGTTGGGTTGGATGCCCAATTCTGACACACGGAATGCCACCCGGTGCTCTCCCGTGTGGCTTAGCCGTCGGCGTGCATGATTTGAGGCTTGCCGTTGGCAACCGTCTTTGGAAAATCTGTCGGAGGAGGAAACGGCAGCTGGGAGAAATAAGTCATTGCAAAAAAAAAGAGGTGTAATTGCCGATATTTGTGACGTTTTCCCGCAGGTGCTGCTTTTTAAGTGGGATGACTTAGCCGAACTTAGTCAACAGGATGAGACTTTTTTCTCTGGAATGGGGAGGTCAAAATTGGTCTCGGCTACTATGCAACGGTGCTGCTTTTTTTTTCTCCCCCCTCCTGACTCCGCTAAATTTCCAAAATTAGTTTTGTAGACAAAGCTAATTGCCAGAACGAGCTTATTTCATCTCTGTTGTCTTAACTCACTTTGGAAGTCGGGGATTTGTAACGCCAAAGGGGAGCGACCGATTCTTCCTTGGGCAAGCTGGAGGTTTTCTGGATCTAGCAGACGAGGGATTTGGGCTAATTTAAGAAAAATAAAAAAGTACGCATTTCTCAGACCAGAAAGAACTGGTGGCAGTTTGACTTTGTGCTAATGGATGTCAGCTTTTCTCAATGGCAGCAACTTTAAAATGGACGGACTTCCATTCCCAGAATTCCCCCTCCAGCAGGTGAGGACTGCAACTCCCAGAATCCTGCAGGCCGGGCTGGGGAAATCTGGGAGTTGAAGTCCACGCATTTTGAAGGTGCTGAGATTGAAAAACAGGGACCTAGATTGGGGCCCGTCTCATCCCAGCAAGTGAAATGAAAAATTTGGCCTCTGCGGTCAATCTTAATCTTAACGTGCAAAGCCATTTTGCTGTGAACTGTACCAATTTTGTCCGTTTTTTTTTTAATTACATCCGGTATACAGCTGGGCTCACTGAAAGATCTCGACCTGTCTGTGCGGTCAAACGGCTGGTTGAATTTGGACTGTACTTAATTTGTAAACGGTGCTAATTTTGGATTTGTTTCCCTTTTAGCCGAACCTTTACCGCTGATGGACCTTTGTCGGCGTTCGGTGCGCCTCGCTTTGGGCAAGAACCGGCTGTGTGAGATCGCGACGCTACCTTTGCCCAAATCTCTCAGAAATTATCTTCTTTACCAATGACCCCTCTTGACACCGGAAGGACAAGACTCTTGCTGTAGGAGTGAACTGTATTGGATTCGTTGAGACAAACTCTTGGGGGTTCATCCTTTCCCGTGCATTTTTCCGGAAATCTGCCCCGCACGCCATCCCTGGGCCAAGCTGCAGGTGGAAAGCTCCTTTCCAAGTTCACATCCCAGTGGGATTTTCCAGAAAAGATTCCTTTTCTTGATAATTCTAGCCAAACTTTCTGCGTCCTTGTTTAGTTTTCCACTCGCCGTCAACCACAAAAGGTCCTGCAGAGTTTTGTCGAGCGAGGACGACTCCGCGACTCGTCCGTTTTGGAGATGGCACAGGGGCAAGAACCAGACGATCGGCCCAGCCTGGCTGCAGGAAATGGATTTGGCCCAGGAGGATGGGGTGGTAGCCTCCAACAAAAAAAGCAAGCCACTGCTGGAGATCTCCTTTCTCGCCCTGGTCCTCGGCCATGTTTTATCCTGCCTTCACCACCGTGCCTTGGTGCCCGCGCATGGCTCACCTCCCATCTTTTGCTGGAGAAGATACTTGAAATGAACATTTGGGGTGAAAAGATCATTTGGGGGGGCTGGGAGGGAGGGAGGGATTGTCCTAAACCAGCCCATAGGAAAAAAAAAAACCCTGCTAGAAAGGACCATTTTTCTCCATCCGTCCTTGACAGAGAGTGGAGGAATGGCTACACGAGTGCAGCTGGCTGGGAATTGGGGTGCCGGATATTCACGCTCAATGGGGCTTAAATTGTAGGATGGGTGGTCTAGCCAGCTAAGCCAAGTTCCATCCTGGATTCCTTGTTTGCAATCAGGCTAAAATCCCACCTTAGCCGGGCTAAAATTCAGTTCCTGACGAGGAACTAGATCTTGAATTGATTGGAATCACTTTCTAAACACCTTCCTCCACTTCCTGGGCACTTTGGCAAAAATGGCCCCACAAATGTGATAATCTAAACTAGCCAACCTCCTTGATCCAACCAGCAGGGAAAACATTTGAAAACTGCCTTCCAAGGGATTTATTTTGCACGTATTTTATTAATCTAAATGGGGGAAGCTTTGGTTTTGTCCCTTCCACCAAAAATTGTTCGACAGGTGTGTTCTTTTGTTTGACGTGTGTTGGTACACGGGGCTTCTCTAATTTGGAGGGGGAAATGATAATATATAGATACATATGTGTGTGCGTGTATGTATGTGTGTATGTGTATATATATGTGTGTGTATGTATGATGTATATACACACACACACATTTTGCATTGTTTTGAATGTAAAAACGCTGGATTGTTTTTGTTTTGATGTTTTTAAGACATGCTGCTGTAGACAAATTGTTAGTTAGTTTGTTTTAAATGAAGAAGAAACAAATAGGCTAGGAGGTTTTTTGTTTTGTTTAGTTTTAAGCACACAACTGGTGCCAAAGTAGTTTTGGGGAGGCGATGTTCATGGGCGCCTCTCTCTTTTTTTTTTTTTTAAATCGAATTGAAACCAAAACTGTTTTCAAGCAGAACACTTTAAAATTGCACATAAAAAAAAAAGAATTTTAATGTGTGCATAGCCAAGCATTTTTAATTGTCCTTAGTCCCCGTTTCCCACTCAACACTAAGATTCAGGCACGTATGTGATCCCTTTTTTTTTTTTTTTGTTTATTATCTTGACTATTTCATTTCCCCTTCCTTCCTTTGATCCACATCATTGGTGTGTCTGGCTTGTACAATTTATTATTTTTTTTAAAAAAAAAAAAAAACCTCTCACTGGGTTTTTTTTTCCCCTCCCCTTGTGGATTGTAGATGATTAGGACCCCGATGAAAGCGAAAGAGAACGAAAATAAAAATGTATTAATAGTGCAAGTCTGTGGCTGTCAATCTCGCAAGGGCGGTGGGAGTTAACGGTTTAGGAATCTTAAAAGTGACACATTTTCCGTTCAAAAAAATAACCTCTGATGCTGGATTGTTGAAGACAAGGGAGGGACATGGCTCTTTCCAATGACTAAATGATGAAAAAATGAGAGAAAGAGAAAAAAAAAAAGAGTTGGAAGTTTGCTTAAAGCTGACCATTCCATTCTGACATTCGGTTTGTTACTTTGTGGAACAAAGCCAAGATGTTCTGGCGGAGAAGCCAAGGAACCAGGGTTTGTCTGGCCGTTTCTCCCACCAGGCCAAGCCCTAACCTCGGTTCAGGCAGAAGCCTGCATTCATTGTGGCTTGCAAACCGTTGCAGCCAAAGCAAACTCGCTCACCTCAACGGCTTCCGCAATCCGTATTAAGCAACGGGGGGTAAACCCAGTTTTCAACTCCCAGAATGAGGAAATGGGTGAGCTGGAAAGCAGCGACTTTTTATTTTTTATTCTTTTGCAAGAAAAATGAAGAGGCGCCCGGCTGTGTTCTACAAACCCCCTCCAGTTTGCAGAAATATTTTGCTTGGTTTCTATGCAACTGCTAAAAAAAAAAACAAAAAATCCTTCAGTGTTTTTTTTCTCCCTCCCCTTCTTCAATATTTGCAAGAGTGGTATCACTCAAAAGGGGGGGGGGTTCTTGGGAAGAGATGAACTTGCAAGGCGGAGAATTGGGGGGGGGGGGCTTACGAAGCAGCCGCCAGGCAGTCCATACAAGGCCTCCCTCTCCAGCCGTTGATGGAATGTGGTTTGCGTTTAGGCCCCAGGAAAAGATTTTGGCTGGGGTGGGGTGGGGGGAAGAGAGAATATTTTATTGGTATTCCCTTCCAGACACCCAAACATGCAGGAGAGCCAGCAAAAAAATGAAGAATCAAGCTTTGCTATGTGGGGTGTTTATGTACAAAACCATAGCAACCCCTGACTGGGGATGTGGGGAGGCACCAGGCTTGCCAACAATTGTTGTATATTAGCTGGCTTGTGTATAGGGGAAGTGTGAGCTTTTATGCAAGCTTGCAACATTGCCGGAGCCCCCAAAATGACGGGGGGGGGGGGTTGAGCAATGGCAGGTCCCAAGGAACAAAAGCCCCACAGGTTTTTTTAAGAGAGAGAGAGAGAGAGATAGAGATAGATACGATAGATAGATATAGAGATGAGATAGAGATAGATACAGATAGATGAGAGAGATAGAGATAGATATGAATACGATAGAGATAGAGATAGAGAGATGAGATAGAGATAGATACGATAGATAGATAGATATAGAGATGAGATAGATAGATATAGAGAGATGAGAGAGATAGAGATAGATATGAATACAATAGAGATAGAGAGATGAGATATAGATACGAGAGAGAGAGAGATGAGATAGAGATAGATTGTACTGTTTGTTTTGTTAAGTTATCTTGTGTTTTTATTGTTAGCTGCCCGGAGTCCTGCGGGAGTGGGGCGGTCTATAAATTTTAATAAATATAAATATAATATAAATATATAGATAGATGAGATAGAGATAGATACAATAAATATAGATAGATAGATAGATAGATAGATAGATAGATAGATAGATAGATAGATAGATAGATGAGATATAGATCGATACGATATATATATATATATATATATATATATATATATATAGAGAGAGAGAGAGAGAGAGAGAGAGAGAGAGAGAGATTAGATAGATAGATAGATAGATAGATAGATAGATAGATAGATAGATAGATAGATAGATAGATAGATAGATAGATAGATAGATAGAGATATATCTGCTGCTTTAGATTTCTGCAAAGAGGTGGGAGGTGGAATTTCTCCTTGAGAAATAATCCTGACCTCTCTTCGGTCTGCAGTTGCAAAAATCTGGAATTTTGTTTTCCCTTCCAAAGGCAGAGTGTGTGTGTGTGTGTGTGTGTTTTTCTCCCAACTCAACAGCATGGAAATTGGGTGACAAAAAAAGGGAAAGGGCATCTCTTAAAAGGAAAACTTTACAAATGTGGATTTCTCATCCTTGTCCCCTGCCAAGGGGAAGGGGAAGACTGTTCAGTGTGCCTGCAGGGATGTTTTGGGACACCTTGGGAGTTGTTTGCTGGGCAATAAAATACAATGTGTTGTTTTGGGGGTTTCCGAGTGGTGTCCCATCCCAGATTTTGGTGCTTTGGATCAGCCAAGGGAAGGAAAATCGAAGGCATTTGTGGGTCACAACATCTTTTGCAATCAGAATAACAAGAGTGGGAAGGGACCTCGGAGATCATCTAGTCCAACCCCTGCTCAGGCAGGAAACCCCATACCATTCCAGACAAATGGCTGTCCAGTCTCTTCTTAAAAATTTCCAGTGTTGGAGTGCCCACAACTTCTGGAGGCAGGTTGTTCCACTGATTACTTGTTCTCACTGTCAAGAAGTTTCTCCTTAGTTCTAGGTTGCTTCTCTCTTTAGTTAGTTTCCATCCATTGCTTCTTGTCCTGCCTTCAGGTGCTTTGGAGAATAGCTTGACTGCCTCTTCTTTGGGGCAGCCCCTGAGATACTGGAAGACCGCTATCCTGTCCCCCCTTGTCCTTCTCTTCATTAAACTAGACATCACCAATTCCAGCAACCGTTCCTTATATGTTTTAGCCTCCAGTCCCCTGATCATCTTTGTTGCTCTTCTCTGCACTCTTTCCAATCGGGAACCTGTCAGAGTGTTCAAGCATCTCTTAATTTCAGCGTCCAATTGGTCTGAATTGATTAGACTGTACCGCCGGCCAGCTCCAAAAGCCCAATATTGGTACACATGAGCTGATCTTTCAATTCTGATAGGGTTTGTTTGCTTTGGCCCCGACGCACATTCAATATTTATCCAGGGCAAACAATCCAGCGCTTGGAAGGATCCAGAGACGAGGCCGAGATTAAATTAGGGCAGCTTGTACCGTTCTTTACCAGCACGTTCGTGGTTTGCCACGTCTTCCTTGCAAGGACCAAATTCAGACAACCTGTTTTTCTAGAAAGAATGGCTGACATTTCCCAATGCTGGTTGAAAATTCTTGCTTGTAAAAGGGGAAAGTCCCAGCATAAAATCCTGCATCCGTCAAGCATGCATTGGCTGGAATGGTTTGCAACTTGGAATTGTCTATGTGGTCACAAAATTGGGGTGGCAGCTCCTGATTTTTTATTATTATTATTTTCCAAATGAGGCCAAATTTCCATTTAACTTTCTTAAGCCAAATGTCACTTTTTAAAGCACCAATTCCGGAGGTCCTCCAATCTGAATGAGGGGGATTACGGTCCCGTCATGATGCTGATTATAGATTTTTTAAAAACCGTCCCAGCATGCCTACGGAGACAAAGTCTTCTAAGGAGCCCTCGGCTTATGACCATTTGTTTAGTGACCTGTTTGACAAAATTACAATGGTGCTGAAAAATATTGATTTGTGACCTGACACTTGGAAGAGTTGCAGTGTTACCAAAATTCTGGCTTGAAGGGGAAAAATTGCTCCTGTGTGTGCCTGAAGTCCCCAAATGCATATTTTTAAATTTGACCCTCAGGGGTCTCCGTCGGTCAAAAAGGATGTGCAGATGAGCAAGCAAACATAGAAATGGTGTAAGGTTTCTTGCCTGAGCAGGGGGTTGGACTAGATGACCACCAAGGTCTCTTCCAACTACTTCTTCTTCCTCTTCCTCCTCCTCCTCTTCTTCTTCTTCTTCTTCTTCTTCTTCTTCTTCTTCTTCTTCTTCTTCTTCTTCTTCTTCTTCTTCTTCTTCTTCTTCTTCTTCTTCTTCTTCTTCTTATTATTATTATTATTATTATTATTATTATTATTATTATTACTATTATTATTATTATTATTATCATGGAGGGTTAGTCAGTCTCCCACTGTAGCACCCAAATGCGAATGCAATCAATAAAGTACAAGGTGTTTCTTGGCTTACGACCACAACCAAGCCCCCAAATTTCTGTCGCTCGGCGAGACATGGGTTAAAATGGGTTTTCTCCCATTTTACGACCTTTCTCGCCGCAGTTGTTAAGTTAGCAACCCAGTTGTTAAATGACCCTGGCTTTGCTTGTCAGAAATTCGCAAAAGGGGGATCACGTGAGCCCGGGGACGCTGCGACGGTCGTAAGGATGAACCAGTGGCCAAGCCTCTGAATTTCAATCACAGGATCGTGGAGATGCTACAAAGCTTGCAGCTGAAAAACGGTCCTGAGGACCGTTGTAACTTCGAATGCTCACTAAGCAAACCGTCGTAAGTCAAGGTCTATTTCTAGTATTAGAATACTAGAATGCAAAACACGACATTAATAATGCCCTGTGTTGCAAAGAGACTAAAAAGCAGTCACGGAAACCCAGTTTCTGTGTGGCGCCTACAAAATAATCAGTAATTTATTCTGGGCGAGGTTTCTTCCCTCTGGAAAGAGATCCAGGTTGCCAAATTTGTGTTCTCAATTAGCTCCAGGGCCAGGTCGAAGGGGTTCGACCTGCCCTAACTCCTTTCAATCCCCTTGACTGATTCTGTTTGGCTTGCGAAGGATTGCTTCTTTGTTAGATTAACCTCTCCCTTTTGTCGAGGTGTGTTTGCACAGTTGTGTTACATGTTTTTGCAACTGCACAGCGTGCCTACCGCCTTTACGTTCAAAATCATGTCCTGGGGGCAGTTTCCACCGTTCCTAAGGTTGTAAAAAAAAAAAAAAAAAAACCACCACCTTTGGAGAAATGTTTTATGAATGCCCAAATCCTTGACTTCGTGTTCAGAGCAAATATGGTCACGGGTGCGAATCCAAGTCTGGCACGGATGGATATTTCCCTCCTGGGGTGGGAAGCAACTGCAAGGAGTTTTTCCAGAAATAAAACAGCTTTGGGGGAAAGCGATATTTGCACCACGCGCTTTTTTTCTCCTGGGTTTAACGTTCTCATCAGCTCCAAGCTGCTGGTTGACTGGAAGCAAACTCTGACCTCTAATATCCGGAGAGCAGCGTGTGATGATTTT